GTATACATCAGGAGGTTGTCCTCTTTTTCGGAATTTATGCAAAATCGCAATTTTCTATTCAGTGCTAGTTCTTTTGGCCGCGATGACAGCGAGTTGGGCATCTTACGCAAGGATGACGGCGACGCGTATTCGAAAATTGAAATACTTTAGAATCTTTCCACTTCTATGTCGATAAATACTGGCTACAGCTAAATTCGTGAAGAAAGCGTTTTTTAAAAATGATGTCCTTGTGGTGTACTTGTTTGTTTTGCATAGGTTGGCTGAGAAATGTACAAAGATTTATAACGCGTGCAAAACCATTGTAAGACTCATTAAACCCTTTGTTTTGCGACGTTTCCGCTGCGCACTGTTGTGGTTTGCATAAGGTCCCTGCTGTTGTGGTCTACAAAAAGTCACGATGTCGACATATCAGTGTTCTGTTTGCTTCTATATTTGCGATTTAAACCTCGAAGTCTTTGAAAAATTCCAAGCGAACAAAACTGTGCGGCTTGTCGTTTTCCACACTTGAAAAGTCTGTATCATTCGCCCATGGAAATTTCTGGAAATTCCCACCGGAAGTTTTGGTCGAATGGAAAGCGTCCCTGGTTCTCTGATTAGCTTTTAAAATTGTTTTCGTGTCACATGTCTTCTTCATTTTTTTACAAGTGGATGAATTAGAATAAACTCTTACATGTTTCCTAAACGCCATAATACAGGAAGGCTGTGTTATAAACCCGAAGGACGATATCATTGTTTCAAAGCCCGTAAATGTACGTGAATGTGAAGATATTACTATGGTAGTTATAGGCTTTTGATATTTGTAGTAATTTACTTTCCTATATTTATGTTTTTTGGTTTCGTAAGGCTGTTATAGCCGGGAAGCGGGCTGTGGGAGTGGGCCCCCACAGCCTCTCGAAGTGCTTCCCACGGCGTGCGTCTCAAAGAGCCTCTGACAGCCAAAGTCCAACTCCTGGCCTCCTCGCGGCGAAACCGGCACCACTGACAGGAGAAGGGGCGAAGGCGAGTCACTGGCGCCTTAAAACCAGTTGCCCGGGGTAGATGGGGCTCTTTAGCCGCGGTGAAGGCAGCCCATCTAGGGGAGGGAAAACCCTGATTCCAAACCTCCGCTGCCTTGCGGCTATACCTGATCACAGGAAAGGCTTCAGGAGTCAACCTCGAAGATAAATCCGGAGTGGAGACCCTAAGGCGGACGGCGGATGCACAGCACTACCTTCCGGCAGCTCCTGCAGTGAAACTGGCCCCAAATTGTATTGGTTCATCTTTTCCTTTGGACTCAGCCAGTGGAACCGAGAGGGGGACACTGACGTGTGGGCAGCCCAGTGTCTCCATATAAACCCGCCCAGGCCTTCAGCGCAAACTGGAGAGGACACTTCAGCGGTTTCGCAAGATTCCGGTACAACACGGGATGAGACAGTTTACCGGTTCTAAGCTTCCGACCGATTGGCGTAGGTTGGAGCGCCAGGGGTCTCTTCCGACGGTGGGAGAAGCCCTCGTAGCTTCATTGGGCAGCTACCGCCCGCCTTAAGCTGGGCAGCCCCCAGCCAGTAAGGTGCTGCCCCGCCATGGCTCGCCTGCTCTACTGGGTGCGTAGGGCTTAGGGGACCTCCCCGACAAGTGAGTCACAACTTCGCACCAGGCAGTCACAAAAGAAAAACAACAACGAAGACTCCAGCTCTTCGAATCGCAAGCTGGAACGTTCGCACCATGTGCCCCGGACTCTCTGCTGACCTTCAGCAGATGGACGACTCCCGCAAAACCGCCATCATCAACAAGGAGCTGACACGACTTAACATCGACGTTGCCTGTCTCCAGGAGACTCGGCTGGCCGATAGCGGTTCTCTTAGAGAATCAGACTACACCTTCTTTTGGCAAGGCTTGTCCCAGGACGAGCCGAGGCAGCATGGTGTAGGTTTTGCTGTGAGGAACTCGCTGCTCCCCACTACAGAAACGCCGACTGGAGGCAGTGAAAGATTCCTCGCCCTCCGCATGAAGACATCGACTGGTTCTGTCAACTTCCTGTCTGTTTACGCCCCGACCCTCACGTCCAGCCCAGAGGCCAAAGATCAGTTTTACGAGGCCTTGGAGGAGACAGTGTCCCAAATTCCCCACTCCAAAAGCCTATACCTGCTAGGCGACTTCAACGCACGCATTGGATCTGACTGGCAAGCATGGCCCACCTGTCTCAGCCACTTCGGTGTTGGCAAGTTGAATGAGAACGGTCAGAGACTGTTGGAACTCTGCTGCCATCATGGCCTCTGCATCACCAACAGCTACTTCAAGTGCAAGGAGCTGCACAAAGTGTCTTGGAGACATCCCCAGTCCTGCCACTGGCACCAGCTAGACCTCATCATCACCAGGAGAGCGGACCTCAGCAGCGTCCTTCACACGCGAAGCTACCACAGCGCAGACTGACTCGGATCACTCCCTCGTTGGCAGCAAGATCAGGCTGAAGCCGCGTAAGATCCATCATGCCAAGTCTAAGGGTCGCCCTCGCATCAACACCTGCACTACTGCCGAACCAGCCAAGGCTCAGAGCTTTGCTACCCTTCAGAAGAAGTTTGCTGACCAGCCTACAACCGAAGACACAGACACCAAATGGTCTCACCTCCGCGACGCTATTTACGACTCGGCCATGTCCGCTTTCAGGAAAAAAGAGCGCAAGAATGCTGACTGGTTCGAGGCGCATTGGGATGAAATGCAGCCAGTCACAGAAGCCAAAAGGATAGCCCTGCTGGCATTCAAGCAGAACTCTTGCCATAGCACACGCAACGCCCTCAGAGTAGCTAAGAGCAAAGCCCAGCAGACCACCTGCTGCTGTGCTAACATGTACTGGCAGAACCTGTGCACCAAGATCCAGACAGCCACCAACTGTGGCTACGCCAAAGGGATGTGCGAGGGGATCAAGACGGCCACCAGCCCTACAAGTGTCAAAACAGCACCGCTCAAAGCGAAGTCTGGCAAAGTCATCACCAACCAGAGCAAGCAACTGCAGCGTTGGGTCGAGCACTATCTCAAGCTCTACTCGACCCAGAACATCGTGACAGACGCTGCCCTTGATGCCTTGCCCAGACTTCCAGCCATGGAGGAGCTAGACGAGATGCCCACACTAGAGGAGCTCAGCAAAGCCATTGACAACCTCGCCTGCGGCAAGGCACCAGGGTTGGACAGCATACCAGCAGAAGTCCTAAAGCACGGCAAACCTTCCATCCTCCAGCCACTTCATGAGCTCCTCTGCCATTGCTGGGAGAAAGGACACATCCCACAAGACATGAGAGATGCTAGTATAGTCACCCTTTACAAAAACAAGGGTGACCAAAGTGATTGTAATAACTGTCGCGGCATTTCACTCCTCAGCATTGTAGGCAAAGTCTTTGCACGTGTCGCACTGGGTCGCCTGCAGACTCTTGCTTCGCGAGTTTATCCAGAGTCCCAGTGTGGCTTCAGAGCTGGCAGATCCACAGTAGATATGATCTTCTCCCTCCACCAGCTGCAGGAGAAGTGTCATGAGCAGCAGCAGCCATTGTTCCTCGCTTTTGTGGACCTGACAAAAGCCTTTGACCTGGTCAGTCGTAGTGGGCTCTTCCAAATCCTCCAGAAGATCGGCTGCCCACCAAAACTCCTCGCCCTCATCACCGCCTTCCACAAGGACATGCAGAGCACCGTCTGCTTTGATGGAGCCACCTTGGAGGCGATATCTGTAGCATTTACTAGACCTACATGCTTTAAAGACTAAATATCAGCCAACCTCAATATTCCCCTTCCACTAATTTTGGAAATAAAAAAGCTACATCTTTTGTAGTCCATACAACAAAATAACAAAACTTTCTACGTGAAAAGTACATTTCTCCCTGTACTTGGTGCCAGTAGAGATGCTCTTTTTTCCAATCATAACCCTACCAACTTTCACTTTTTTTAACGCAAAATGTTTATGATTTCAAAGCCTCTCCAAAACAGTCTCATCATCAACAATGCCCCAAGCATTCCAGAAGAATAGAACCAGATACCAGTTTCTTTTACTGTTTTCCCTGTTTGGGAGTGAATTCTCTAATGGCTTCCTCTTCATTGTCCACTCCCCACTAAATCACTTTAATCAACAAATCCTATTCTCCAAGAAGAAGACGTTTCAGTAGTGAAGGGGTGATTCTTTTCGCATTAAGTTACTGGCGGTAAGTTGGCCCCTTCTTGCGATATTCTGAGTAGGGTTGCTCCTTTGGCCAACTGTTATCTCACCAATCCTTACCATGTTTTCTTCATCTAGTTTGGAACTGCAAACCAAACAATCCAACTAGTCTTGAATTCCTCAGCCCAAAGAAATTTGTTACATTAAATAATTTCCTCCATAGAAGGCATGGGCAGCTTGCTGACGACAGGTGGCTCAGGGCTGAGCAGCTAGCAAAGTCCAGTAACCTTTCCATATTTCTTTAGATCCTCATAGAATGCGGAACGATTGGCGTGAGTTAGCATCCTTGACAAAGCACAGTAATCTTTTGGCAAAGGAGAGTTCAGAAACCGCTTGATTTGAGAACGATGTGTTGGATTTTCTCTTTCTCCACTGATACTCCACATCTGTAAAGCTTACATGGTAGATCCCAAGAATGAAAAGGGCAGCTGCATTCGGTTGTTTTTATGTTTTGTTGTTTATCCAAGTAAATCTACAATTGTTTAAAATAAAGGATTATGCGTATGGCAAACAAGTTTTTAATTTTTGCTGGAAAGAGTCTGGGCCTCGTGATGAACGGATGTGTTTGATGAGCTCCACTATCTGTTCTCCTTGGACATGTGAAATCAAAGATTTTTGGTAGCCACTTTGGAAGTTTTACTCTTAAACTCAATGTCAGAAACAACTACAAAGAAAAGAACCGAACTTGACTCTTTTGACGAGGGAATTTCACTGGAACACAAGGTTACATGTGTAATGGCGACTCTGCCAGCAGGCATCGAATCACCAGCCATGTTGCAAGTAGATGAGCCAAGCTTAGAACGAAGATATTCACCAAATACTTATTGAAGTCCAAGGCACAATCAAACAGCTGCTGGCACTGACGTTGCTGACCTTAAGAACAGGGTGGAAAGGAACAGGCAAGAGGTGACAAATCTTAAACAAGAACTGGTGAAAGAGAATAAATACATAGTGTCGCTGGAGAAACAACTAACCAAAACAAGCAAATAATTATGTCAAAGAACACAGACAAGTTACAAGATATTCAGGTAAACCTCAGTCATTTGGAACAATACTCTAGGAAAAACTCCTTAAGAGTCCCACAGTATTCCCGATGAAGTTAATTTGCCAACAGACCAAGTTGTATGTAAAATTGCCCAAGCCATCAGTGTTGAAATACAGGAGGACGACATACAAATTGCGCACCGAATTGGACGTAAGAGAGGAGAAAAACCAGTCCTGGTAAAATTCGTAACTCATAAGGTCAAATCGAAGGTATATAAAGACTGTACTAATCTAACAGCTGTATCTGTTCAAAATGTCTTCCCTGGTTCCTCTGTCTCTTCGGTGCAAGAAACTATCGCTCACCCAAAGGGAATCTATATCAACGAGAATTTAACCCTGTATCACAAAGAGATGATGGGTCTTGCGGTAGAAAAAAGGCACGACAGAAAGGTCAACAAAGTGTGGACATTTGATGGCAAAATCTTCATCAAAACCACTCCGACGGGAAACCCTTGTCAAATGTTTTCTGTAGAAGATGTCAAAGAACTTTAAAAAGTCAACCACTAAAACTTAAGGGAAGAACGGCCAGCCCCTCAAGAAACACCAGAACAGTGTACCAAACTGATTAGCGTATGTATAATTATACGTTGTTTTGAACTGGTTTCAAGAATAGTAAGTACCTTATTGCAGTCGATTTACAAGACTGATTTTGCTTTGGTTGTTTTCTAGCAATGAGTAAGCTAACATACTCTTGTCTGCTTTGTTGGACATGTTCTTGGTGCTTTCCGTGTACAATGAATTAATTTATTTCATATCATTTCCTCTGAAAGGTGCTTGTGTTCATTTTGTTCTGTCCTCCTGGTAACAAAAGCAGAGGAGTGTCACTCCTGTCAAGAGATTGACAGATGTACTGAAATAATGTCTGAAATCAACAACAAGGGACAACGCATAACACCCCACCTGGGATTTAGTGATTTGTGCCTTAACAAATAGGTTCTTGAGGTTCCAGAAACAATTTTTTATTACAAATAATGTAACATACTTTTAAGCATGTTTAATTTTGCAGTTGATAAGGCTAACTTTTTTGTCATGGTTGTATGCTTGATAACTGTAAGATTGTTATCTGTTTTTCATGTTCACGTAGGTTCCTAAGGTCAGTTGCCTACACGCAATCTACACGTCTGGTCTGAGGCTATCTTGATAGTTCTAAACAGTATCTGTTAAATTGTTGTGCACATCAAGCCATAAGAAATTTCCTGATGAAGATGGACTTTATCAAGGATATAAAGAGGAAAGCTAAAGACATTTCTTGTCACGCATGTTGAAATTACCAGTTTAACAAATTGACATCCATTTTTCCTGTGCCTGTCCTGTTATTGATCATGAATTTGGTCATAACATTGTCAAAATAGACTGTGGATCCACTTAGCAAAACACTTGAGCTATTTTGATTGTTACAACTGTAACAAATACTAACAAAAAGCGGAATGTATTACGTACACCATACTTTACAAATATTGAACTATAAATCCACATTTATTCTATATCTCCTTTCCTTTAGAATTACCCTATCAAGTCGAGGGTTATTGATGTTTCTGTCATTAGGAACCAAACATTTTCATCCCTTCTTTGCCTAAAAAACATTGAATGAGGGGATAGAAATTACTCACACACGAGCAGGCCCCAAACTGAGCAAAATGAACAGACCATCCGCTTTGCAGTCAGATGACTTTTACAAGCATGAGTACACACCAAGTGATTTCCTGACCTCAGTGGAGGTAATAGGTCAAAAACGAGTGCGAGTTTTTCATCAGGGGTTCCAAACAAAAAGAAACGGATGAAAGCATGATGCCGAAGGCAGAGTGCTTTTATTGTTTTGAGGTGTTTGGAACCCCTGATGAAAAACGAAGCACAAGTTTTTGAGCTGGCTTCTCAAACCAGTGTGAAAATTTAGTAGAATTGTTTCTGAAGAATAGGTAATTAGAAGGCGTGCTCAATAGGCTATTGTTTGTTCCTTATTTGTGGTAAATGAAATGAATATTTAATATGCAGCGATGCGGGTGGGTTTTTTGGTAGATTAACATAACAGCGCGTGATGGAAGTCGAGTCGAGATCAGAACAACTTCGCATTCCTACAACTTCTTCTCAAGAAAACGTTCTGGTGAATAATGCCGTTCCAGCTTCAGCTAAGTATAAAAACAAGTGGGCTGTGAGCATTCTTGCCAAATTGCAGAGGTTAAGAGAGGTTAAAGTTCCAGTATGAGATTGTGGTGGTCTCTTCAAGGACTATGATTTACACAAGGTTACCACTCTGAGTGCAGATATTGCCGGACTGGACACTGAACTATTGGTGAACGCTGTCGCTAAACTATTGGTTGTCAAAATTCATGATGGAGGTAGCTAAAAAGTCTGCTGCAAGATACCCTCTCAAGACTGTTTATGGTATCATTTGTGCCCTCAAGCGTTATTTGGAGCAGAAAAATGGATCTGAAGCTTTGAATCCTCTGGACACTAGTGACACAAGGTAATTGACAACTTTTAGACCGCATTGTTCAGAATTTTGATATGCACTGTTTTGGGAATTGAATTTGGTGTGTTGTTTTTTGAAGGTTTGTCCTGTTCCGACGTTGCTTAGATGCTGAGATGAAGGATGGCGTTCGAAAAGGGCTTCATATTAAGTAATAATTGAAGCGGCAAATATACTGTATTTAGTATTAAGACTGATTAAAATTCAAGTTTCTTGATCAGTGTCTTGATCAGTTTTTGAACTAATCGAAAGTGTCTTGATCGGTATGTTCATTGGGTATCAAAATACATGCACCTGACCCAATTGATGCAAGGTGATTGGGTCATCAGCACATGAATAATTAATGAATTTAAGAAAGTGAGAATGAAAAACCTGTCCAGCATTCAAAATATCTATCATACATAACATGGCCAGCTAAACTAGTCATTTGGTGAGCATATTGAATGATTTCCAGCAGAAAACAAAAACCATGTGGATTTGCAGTAGCTTGCAGTGCAAACCACTAAAGCCTGCAGTAATCATCAATCAGTCTGCGGTTTCAACCAAACTGTGATGAATTAAAAGCTCTATTCCCTCTCAACAATTCATTATGACAGGGTGGTGCAGGTGTAAAGATTCAGGCAGGGAACTGGAAGTCGGATGGAAGAGTCAGCAGTTCAAATCCTGGTGTGGGCAGTTCTTCTTCTTCTCTGAGCTAATAACGAATGTTTAGCATTTATTGAGGAAAATAAAAATGTTGAAGCAATAAAAGTAAAGTAATTATACAAAAAATGAAATATAGAAATTTGAAATAACTCTTCACAGAAGAAAGACCCTTTTCAAGTTAAACCCTTACACATGATTTTTGGCAAAGTTTCATTTAAAAGCCACTGTCAAAGCTATCAATAAATCGAAATACACAACCACCTTTGCTGCATTCCACATAGTCCTTTATTTGGGAGTACTTGTTTGATTCAGAACGTGAAAGATCAGTTTATCGCTTCGGTAAACATCCTGTTCACAATGGTTGGCCCTCTCTTGATATTCCCTGGTCAGCAGAATT